AGGATGGAACCTCTCCTTCCGACTCCATATCCTTGTTACGCTACAGGACTCTTGCCACTTAGTTTGGTTGCTTAAACCTGGGATACCTGTTTCCCAGCTCTCTTTACCTTTATGAATGTCTTGGATTCTTGAGTCTGCTTTCCCACTTGTACTTCCAGTGTTTAAATATGACTACCACTAATATCTTATGTTGAGTCTTTACTCTGCATATAGACCATATTTGCTACTTTAAATATATTTACTCATCTTATCTGCACAAGGACCATAGATTGTTGTTGGTACTTGATCATGTCCATTTTATGGGTGAGAAAACTGAGGCTCAGAGACTGAACAACTTTCTAACCGAGCCCCCTCGTTAGTGAATAGTACAGCAAGGAACAACCCCAGGCAGTGTGCTGCCAGTGTCCGCCTTCCAGGCTCTGAATTCCTCAATATGATTTGCCACCTGTTTCGACCTGCCTCGGGTCTAGTACCAGACGACTGGAACTAAAGCTCTAGCCTTTGCAGAGCGGGCCCTATCAGCGAGTCCTTGTCCCTCCCGACACTGGGCCCTCTTGCCCACATTAGGGGAGACTTGGCCACTGCCACGCTCTCCCCACCTTGACAGAAATGAGGAATAAGGACTGTCCTGCAACAAGGCCGAGGAAATTCTGATCCGCCTTCCCAGGTGGTCTAGCTTCTGGGTGGACCCCAAAGAATACTTCCTTCAGGTATTTTTTTAAATCGGTCTTTCTTACAGGTAGGAGCTCTGAAGTTACTGTCTGAAAGAAGTGTGGGGAAGGGGAGGAAGCAGCCTCTGTAAGCTTCAGGAGACTCAACCGTCTTTCACTCCTCAGACCACGTGACGCCGTCTTTCCTAAAAGCACCTGTCGGACATCACTGAGCGAAACCCCGAAGCTGCATTAATCATGGGAAGAAGGAAAGAAAGCAACTTCAAACAAGCCATATATGGCATTTGACTTTCAACAATGAACAGTCCTGCTTCCTGTTGGTGGGTAACCCTGAGGAGTTCGAACACACAGCACAATGATAGGAAAACGCTAAGTATACAACAATAAACCAAGGGATAAACAGTGCCTAGGTTTTTCTTTAAACCAACATCTGTGGCTTGGTGGACTGTGGTGTGTTATTTCCATTGCTATGCAACGGAGGAAAAATATAAAGGTGATTTCAGCGAAAGGCATAGGAATATGCTATGCCATCTGATTGTAGTGTCCGAATTTAGACCTGGCAGATGTTGGGAAAGGTTTCTTTCAGGTTCGATACCAACCATGATAACAGAAATTAGCTTAGGGGAGGTTCATGGCTAGGCTTGACTTTTGTAAAATTCAGCAGAGCATCCAGCCAGTGGCCCTGGGCCAGGGAGTGCTGTGCGGGCCCTGGCAGGAGCTCGGTGAATGTTTATAAAATCAGGAGCACAGCCTAAGGAAACGTAAACCAACCTGCCAGGAGGAGGTTGCATATCCATTTGTCAAACTGCAGATCGCAAAACACACCCCACCCCGCCTCGGTGCCTGCCTTCTGGTGAGTTCCTGACAGGAAGGGAGTGCTGTTACAGGGTGGGGGACCAGATACCTCAGAAGGGCAGGTGCACAGCATCCGAGGGTGTGTGTAAACATTACACTGAAGTCACAGCTAAAGCCTGTCCATCCTGGGAAACTGTTCCCCACCCTGTGCCCCTTCCCCAAACTTCCCATGAAGCCCTCTAACCAGGAAAAAACAACTTCAGAAACCAGGGTGGGGCTTTTCTGGAATAGGGTTCCCTCTGTTACAGTGGAGGTAGATATCTAGGTAATTTATCCCAAACAATCATTTTCCCCTAAATCATGAGGGGCCTGTTTCAGCTCGCCCCTTTCCCTTTGGCCGTGCAGGTATAGAGGTGGGAGAGTTGGCTGGGACGGCTGCTGTTCTGAGACCCCTGGACCCCTCCCCCTGGGATTTGGGAGACAGGAAGGCCCCATATTCCCCTCATGGGCTTAATCTGTGCAAACACAGAACAAATCAGTGGGTAATAAGCAGGAAGGGAAGGTCTCAGCCCTCAAGATCAAGCTGAGAATTGATTATCTGTGCAAACTGGGAAGGCCATTTGTTCCAAGTGCTCTAACCTGCACATTGGCGTACTCATTCCGCAGACATTTTATTGAGTGCCTCCTGTCTGCTGGGCACATTTCTAGACAAATAGCCGTGAACAGAACAACAACAACAAAAAATTCCTGCTCTCAGAGTGCTCTAAATTCTAGTGGGGAAAATCCACAAATACAGATTAAGAAGCTAATGTATAGTTATCCTGAAATGAAGACAAGCTGCAGGTCACTTGGCAAACATGCACTATTCCAGCATTAGGGGATTAGGGAAAAAGAGCTAACTTTTACTGAATGCTTCCTACGTGCCAGACACTCAGTGGTAACACTTTCTGAGCACTTACTGTGTAGTAGGCTCATAGGAAGGTGAGCTCAGATACTTTCCCTATTTCCTTTTAATCCTCTCAACAACTCTATTATCCTCATTGTACAGATGAGAAAACAGAGGACCAGAAGTCAAAATAAGTTGCTCAAGCACCTCTTGCTCGGGATTTCTGTGCTCAAGCCTGATCCCTGCGTCAGGCGGTGGCCACACGCACCCGTGTGCTGTTCCGCTGCTGGCGGGCAGTGTCGCCCCTTGTCTTTGTCCACTAGCTCCTCCAGCCCCTTGGTTCAGCTTAGACGTCCCCTTCTTCAGGAGACTCCTTACTGCTGCTGTGGACCTTTTGCTAATCTCCTTCATTAGATCATACAAATGAAAAGTGCTAGCTAACTCCACTGGGTATGCAAACATTGTTTTCTTCCTACTTCCCTTACTGAATTTATGGTCAGAAGTGTGAAATTTGTCACTTGATTTCATACTGCCTGTTTTGTTTGTTGTTGTTCTATAGGCATTGGTCTCACTTCCTCAAATACATTGGCAGTTTAGAGAACAGTGCTTTATATTTGTAAATTACACATATATTTATTTATATTTATATTTATATATGTATAATTATCTTTATAATGCTTACTTAATAATTGTTCAACAGAGTAGCTCTCCAACTAGAGCATGAATCGGAATTATCTGGAGGGCTTGTTAAAATAGCTGACTGGGTCCCTCCCCCAGCATTTCTGATTCAGCAGCCCTGGAATGGGTTGAGAATGTATATTTCTCACAAGTTCCCAGGAGATGCTGCTGCTGCTGGTCTAGGGAACACACTTGGAGGACCACAGGTTAGAAGTGTAATAATGTACCACAGGGCTTAGCAGCAAGTAGGCTGAGTCTGAGTCACCGCTCACTAGCTGTGTGACCTTGGGCAAGCCAGCCTGTTTGAGCCTGTTTCCTCATCTGTAAAAATGGGGATAATAATAGTATGCGCATTAGGAGTGTGGTGAGGATTAAGTGTAATAATGAATGCAGTGTGCACAGCACTGTCCCTGACACATTGAAAGCATTCAGTAATGCCTCCTTGTTATCTCTGGAAAGGCTAGCACAATGGCAGGTACCAAACAGGCACCGAACCCAGCCTTCTCAGGCTCACATACAACTCCTTTTGAATTTGTAAGCAGTGAGAGTGAAGGGTGTCACTGAAGCATGACACTCATAATGCACAGCTTTTGCAATTAAGCCAGGCTATTCAAAAGCACAGCATAGATGCCTTCAGAAATACCACCTCCCCCGACCCCAGTATGCTGGGTGGAAGTGCCCAGGTGTACAAAAGCCATGTGTATTTTTAAAATTCAGGGGCTGTCTTCGGGCAACCCCCTTCACACCTTGATGATGTGATAAAGGATGCTGAGGACGGCAACTTGGCCTCTGAGAGCTTGAGTTGCTGGAGTCATCCGGGCATCTGGGCTAATGGGTTGGCAGACACGAGCAGAGCCCATCATTCAATAATTAATTAGCTGCAGTCACGGGACGACAACCTCCCCAGAGCAGTTAGGGCAACCACCCCCTCCTCCATCCCAGTTGTTTCCAAGCACCCAGGCCCCTGCCGCTCCCTCCTGGCTATAAGAACTTTCTCACCCAAAGCAAGACCTCTATTTTCCTTCTGGGTCTACCTGAGCGGTTATACTGGCTGACATTCTCTTGAGGAAAGCCTAAGAGGGACTGTGCAAAGACAATTTTCAGACCTTGTCCCACAGCCCTTTAGGGCCTGAGATAGGGTACCTAGGGATCTAGGGATGGGCTAGCCTAGTGTTGTCCCAATAATATAGGAGACAGGGGTCAGGGCCCTATCTCTCAGTGGGCCACTAATCCCGAGAATGTCGTTCATTCAATGCAAAGTTGAATGAGATCATCCCTGGGACGATTAGTATGAAGCAGAGGCTGCGGGTTGGGGGTTGGGGGAGATGCTGCCGCCCCTCCCTTCTGCCAGTCCCCTTCAGAGAAGAGCATCACGCCTCTTCTCATCCAACCAGACCCTTCCCTAATAAGAAAAGGACGACCCTTTTCCCCCCGCCCATACCATTTTCTCTAGTACCCCCAATTTCTGACACAAAGCCATCACAGCCCCCATCCAAGTGTGTGTGGACTCACGGGGGCACCACCCCCGGCAGCCCCCGTGCAGGGAGGGTCTCCTCGCCTGACGCGCTGGCCAGGCCCGGGCTCCAGAGGGAAAGCGAGCGAGAAGGGGGTGTGTGCACGGCTGGAGGGGAGCCGACACCCCCAAGAGGCGAGGAGAGGCCAGCCTCCCCGCACCTGGAGTCTCCGATGTGAGATGAAAACCCAGGCGGGGAGGTTCCTCAAAGGGAAGAGCCCACGGTGTCTTCCCCCTTCTCACCATTTCTCCTTGCTCAATTTCTCTCCGTTCTCTCCTTCTCCATCCCTCCTCTCCCTCTTTGCATGTCTTTTTCTCACCTCCGCCGTTAGGAACACCCTGCCTTCTCCCGGCGCTCAGCTCGGACCGCCGCAGCGATCAGTGCCCTGGGGACCCCGGACCCGCGCGTCGCCTCCCGGCCCCCTCCCTGCCCGGCCCTCTCAGCTCCGGGTCTCACCCAGAAGAGCAGGTTGAAGCCGAGCAGCAGGTACTTGATGCACCGCAGGCCCCCGCGGAAGCGCCCCATTCTGAGGCCCCAGCGGCGGGATCCCGAGTCCCCAGTCCAGCTATCCAGTGCCGGGAGCCGCGGGAGCCAGAGAGGAGGGGGCGGAGCGCTAGGGACCGGGGGCGGGGTCTATGGGGGTGGGGCGGAGGGCGGGGTCTGCAGAGGGCAGGCGGGAGCCCGGCAGGGGGCGTTGGAGGGCCCCAGGAGGACCCCGAGCCAAGAGGCTGCGAGGCTTGGGGTGCAGTTGTGGTTAGTGGGAGCACGTCCCGGCTCTGCCCCGGAACCAGGGACCGCCTTCCTTACTCCCAATGCCCGGCTATGTGCCCTACAGGAGCCCCGCTCCCGGTGGTTATCCGACCGTCTGCAAGGAAAGAGCGTCCACTTTATTAAGTGGAGACCCGAGACCCGCTTAATGAGCGCCCTGTGCAGACTTGTTTGAGACTTGCGATGGTGGTCGAGGATAAGGACGCGGCCGCGGTGGCGATGGAAACCTAGGAAGGTGGCCTAGGGAGGGTATAGAGAGAAAAGTAGGACTTGAGGCTGCCCTGGAGCTGGCAGGACTTGCTGCAGGGCATCTCCGGCTGGGGGCTGTGGTTCTCTGGCGCCTGACGAGCGCACTGGCCACGGAGGCCACTTTCCAGGGACCCTCCCACGGCCCCTCCCGCGCTCCTCCCAGGACTCTTACCTTAATAGGCAAGAACGGGGAGAAGGCGCAAGATGCTGCTGTCCTGCCCCGGTGGCTGCTCCCTACTTTGCTCGGCTGCCCAGCCAGCAGAGGGGGCCTGCCCGGCCAGCAGAGGGGGCGTCAGACTCCCTGCGTCCTGCTGGATTCAACCGATGGCACGGTGTGGGAAGGGATGTGGAGGTGGAATTTAGGAGGGGGCGGTTTTTGTTCTGCTTTGTTTTATTAAATTAGGCTGCTGGTGGGGAAATCAGGCTCCCACTCTGGTTGACTAAGTGTCTACAGTATGTGGTGCTAGACAGTGTGGGGGCGACAAGGAAGTGTAAAATTCAGGGAGCCTATGCATTCATTCAGCAAAACTTTAAGTGCCTATTATAGGCCAGGCGGTGTAGCAAAAAGCCCCAAGGACTCAACAATACAGAGACAGTGGGGCCTGGTAGCACTGTCTCTGGTGGTACAGACAGATCTGTAAGCAAATAATTACTGTAAAGTGAGGAGGTCAGGCAAAGCCCTGGCTGGTGTGGCCTGGCCTCACTGCACTGGGCAGAGAAAGCTTTGCTGAGGACAGTGGGCCTGCTCTGGCCTCGAAGAATGAGTGAGCAGAGGGGAAGCGCCGGCCAGGCACGTAGGGATAGCACTTGCAAATGGGACAGGACCCGAGAAAGCAAGGCCTCCTGGGGGAACTTACAGCTGTAGTCAGTCATCCCAAGTGGAGCAGAGAAGATGAGTTGGAAAGATGCTAGGGGACAACTTTCAGTCAACTGACAAAAGCACAAAACTATCATCAGGCTTCAGCTTCCTAATTTGCAACATGGAGATAATAGTATGCACCTCATAGAGTTATGAAGATTAAGGAGTTAATATTGGTCAGGTGCACAGAGTAAATACTATGCAAGTGTTGGGTATTACTGTATTGTATCAGATGACCAATCACTTTCTATCAGTGTTGCCATCTTTGCCTACATCTGTGTCTTTGGACACTTGTTTGAGTATCTAAAGTGAACTTAATTTATGAAAAGTGAGTAGAAGACAGAAAAACTGAAGTGCCGATTCTGGTGATAAGCAAAAGTGTCAAATAGTGAACTAGAGACAGAGATGGAAATCTTTAGATATGCGGAAAGAGGCAAATCTTCAGTTTCAATCAAACACTTATTGTTCTATCTCTGTCATCTCTGTTCTATGATAAAGGAAAGGAACTAAATGAAAAAGTAGTGTCTTGTACATAGTAGGTATTCAATAAATCTCTGAGCTGAACGAACAACAGTGATATTATACATCTAATATATTATTGAATTTTAGGTCCCTAAGACAAAATACATTAGAGATTCTATACACTCTGGGAACAGAACCATATTATAACATAAAAATCTATTGTTCTTTCATACTGCAATTTTAGCACACATGTAGTAGAGACAGATGGCTGCCTGCCTAACGTAACTGGTTTAGATTTTGAATACAGTCTTCCCCAGCTCTTCCCCTGCACAAACTGTGTCTTAAAGGAGCTGACCCTTGACAGGAGTAGGGCATCCTAACTGCTAATACATTTTCAAGAGCGCATTATTATGAAAGCAGGAAACTACATTAAATGACATAAAGGAAATTAGCCTTTAAGCTCGATGTTGCGCAAAGCCACAGACAAGTTCTCAGCAGGGTAGAGATGGTTAGATTTCTATTTTTAGAACGGTCAAGCTGGGGCCTCAGGGAGGACAGTTTTAAAAGTTAAGACTTGAGACTAATTAGCGCAGTTTAGAAATGACAGCCTGAACCAGGAGAGTGGCAGTGGGTGTAGAAAGGAGGCTGAGGTTTAAGGCTGATAAAAGATCAAGACAGAGTAGATATGAGGAACAGAAGGGGGAAGGGAGGAAAGGATGGCTGCTGGGTTTCTTACATGGGTGCCCAGGCAGCTCACAGAACGGTTAACAGAGACAGGGAATACGGAAGGTGGAGAAGGTTGGGGGGAGAGTGTTCCGAATACTACAGATGGGCTCACCTGTCACACAATCCCACATCCAGTTTAGAGGATAGAAGCTAAGTGCTTGCTTTCTGATTTCCTTTGCAGCGAGGGGTGGCCATCTGACACAAAACTGATTAATGGGATTTGTGTGGAAGTCTGCTGGGAGGCTTCTGGAGAATCTAAAATTGTTCTAATAAAAGGTTCATTTGTCACTGGCATTGCTCCCATCGCTTTTTCCCCATCTTGAACTCAGACATGATGCCAGGAGCTATAGAGCATTTTGTGTCTAAGAGCAAAGGCCAAGAGAATTGCAGGTCTGCCAGAGAGGAGATTGCTGAACTGCTGAACCAGTACCAGCAGCCACCTACCTCCAGATTTCTAGTTATGTAAGAAAAATAACCTTTGTTTTTGTTTGACTCTTATATTCTTTTCCTTGTAGATGATCATATTTCTAACTGACGCAGGAAGACAATAAATTTATATTCGGATCTGTTGAATTTAGATCTGATGGGAAATCCAGATGGAATGATCCGGGAGACAGATGGAAATATGATTGGGATTCTGGAGAGAAGTTTGGATTGTAAGTTTAGGTTAAAAATTCATCAGCGAATGGTGATAATGGAAACCAATGGTTTTTAAACTTTTGCTCACACATTCCCTAAAAGAATTATTAAAAAAATATATTCTCCTTATGAAAAAAAATATATCCACCTTTTCACATTTCCCCCAATATCTTATTGTTAATATTTTCAAATATACAAAAAAGTTGAAGTAATTGAGCAGTGACTACTATATACTCACCACCTGTATTCTACTGTAAACATTTTGCTTTGGGTGCATTACTTGTCTCTGTATCTGCCCATTTGTCACTCTATTTTTTTTACACATTTACAAATACATTTTAGATGTCAATATGTTTTACACCTAAACTCTTCAGCATGCATAACATTAACTAGAGTTCAAATATTTGTTTACAGATTTTCTTTTTTTTTTTGAGATAAAAATTATTTCAATGAAATGTTAAGTATACTGTTTTAGGATTTTTGACAAGTGCTTTTACTTTTGTGATCCTAAGCCCTATTAAGGTATAAAACATTACTATCACCTCAAAAAGGTCTGTTGTATCCTTTCCCAGTCAATCTATGCCCCGACTCTTCCCAAAGGCAACCGCTGTTCTGATTCTTTCACAATAGATTATTTTTGTCTGTTCTATAACATTATACAAATGGAACATACAGTGTTTTCCATCACACACTTTTAATTTGACATATCAACTCTTTAAAAATAAGTTTGAGTATTTGCAAAAGATGTCATTTCTGATGTATCTTAAATATTGACATTTTAAAAGAAGATTGTCCCATCACTCATTTTAAGGCATAAAATAGAAACTAAGTGCCATTGTGATCTTCTACCTACCGTCATCTATTTAAAAAAATACATGGACAAGATACTCTTTAACAGGGCGAAAGTTTTCCATCTTTCTTTTTTTTTCTTGAATTTGTATTTTCACTCAACTTTTTCCATGAAATGTAATCCTAAACTAATGCATTTTTATACTTGATTTTTCTTGAATGTCCTTTTATACTTGTCTGAACAAATATTACTATATATTTATTAAAATAAATTAAAATTTTCCTCCTGAGACCAAATGGCTCTAAGTGTTAATTAATTTCTCCGACATTGTTGTCATCAAAATTATTCTTAGTATACAATTGATTAAAATAAACATAACTTAAATAAACACTCATTAAACATAAAAGTAAAATATTCTGGAAATGCATCTCAATGGGGTTGGGGTTTTTTCCTACTAATTCATGTACCCACGAATGAAAATTATTCATTGTGAGAACAACACAGGGCTCAGCATAAATTCCCTTAATATTAATGCTGAGAAACTTTGTTTAGATGAATAAGTAGATGAGGATGGAAGAAGCTGTTATAGCAGTGACCTTTCTGAATTATATGCCCCAATTCACATACTGATCTTTCTTTTTCTTTAAATTAAAAAAATATTGATTTTGAGAGAGAGAAAGAGAGACAGACAGACATTGATTTGTTGTTCCACTTATGGATGCATACATTGGGTGCTTCTTGTATGTGTTCTGACGTGAGACTGAACCTGCAACCCTGGCTCTCAGGTCGAAACTCTCACCAACTGAGTGAACAGGCCAGGGCGTATCACATGCTGATCTTTCAAACAGTATTTCTAAAGAGAATCAGCTGACAACTCCATTTGGACTTTCTTCAATGTTAATGGAAGTAGTCTTGGAACCCTTCTAACTTACAAGAGCATATATATCACAGGAATATTCTCAGGCAGGTTGATCCTCTTAAAACTAAATATTTATCTTGGACTGCCTTCTGGAAAGATTCTCACATCACCAGGATATGCATGCCCCAGAGAGATACAGCTGTTTTAAAGCTACGAGCACAG